TTTTTAGGAACCAACTTGTGGATGATTTCAGCTCAAACTGTTAGGATTTTGTTCGACCAAATTTACTTTTTCAGCATCCTTAATATTTTACGTGGCACTAATTGGAGTATGGTATATTAAAGTCATTTTCTTGTGCAATTTCATAAGCATTAGTCAATACATATTCTAATTTTGATGATATGCAGTTTGAAACGGCAAGCGATGCAGATTCATCTCATCTTTAGATATGATGAAGCCACATCGCCTGGTCGATTTGGTTCACATTGGATGTTCTTGAGATTATTGCCTTGACTAAAATTTGGACCTCAGGGTTTTTCTTTTTTTCTTTTTTCCTCCGACGAGAATTAAAAAGATAAGGGAAAAAAAAAATAAAGAATCCAATCCGATGTGGTGGGAGTTTGGCATACATGCCAACTAGTTTTCTTAAAAATTTGGAACTCTAGCGGAAAAGAGGGGGACTTGAAACCACCATGCATAACAGTCTAACTGTAGCGCAGGTGTTCTTCAGCTGGAGGAATAACTGCTTTCAAGTTATTTACTATTTCGGAGGTCAATTACTGTTAAGCAGTCATTATTAGATAGATTGTTTGTTGTATGATAGAATGTAAAACATATGATCTCAACTTCTGCAATTTGATCGACCCGGCAAGAGCAAATCGTAGTAGTAGGGGTATAACTTGATTCTTCAGGATAAGGGGTTAGATGCTGGATGGTTCCCTTTCCCATTGATGTCTAATGCGAGTTTTACCTAAATTGTCAGCTAAAGAACAAGAGACTGCAAGCCAGGAGAATACCGAAAGAATTGCAGATGACGAGATAGAGTTACCCTTATTTGATTTGATCACCATTTCAAATGCTACTAATCAATTTTCATTCGCAAATAAGATTGGAGAAGGTGGATTTGGTCCTGTTTACCAGGTAGTGTCTGTCACATATCCATTGACTTCCTTTAACATTTCTTGTAGGCCATTTTGCTTATTCTAACTCAAAGATAAGTTGCTTTGCAGGGTATCCTCTCAACAGGGCAACAAATAGCAGTCAAGAAAGACTCAAAAGATTCTGGACAAGGTATTGAAGAGTTTAAAAATGAAGTGATCTTAATTGCAAAGCTGCAGCATCGAAACCTTGTCAGGCTGCTAGGGTGCTGCATTCATGGGGATGAGAGAATGTTAGTATATGAATATATGCCCAACAGGAGTCTGGACTTATTCATCTTCAGTAAGTTTCCTATAGTTTCTGATGGTCATTTTGTTTAAATGAAAGAGGCTAACATAAGTTGAATACATCATAGATCAAGGAAGAGGAAAAGTACTAGATTGGAGAAAACGCTTTGACATAATTGTTGGAATTGCTCGGGGACTTCTATACCTTCATCGAGATTCCAGGTTGAGAATAATTCATAGGGATTTGAAAGCAAGCAACATTCTTCTCGACACTGAAATGAATCCTAAAATCTCTGACTTTGGCCTAGCACGAACATTTGGTTGTGATCATTACCAGGATAACACCACGAGAGTCATGGGAACATAGTAAGCACATTTTCTTTTCCCTGCCTCTTTTTCACAGACATCAGTAGCTAATTTGCAAATGATGAATATTCTTCCATGTTTCCATGTAGTGGCTATATGGCTCCTGAGTATGCAGTAGATGGCCTGTTTTCAGTTAAATCTGATGTGTTTAGCTTTGGTGTCCTGGTTTTGGAGATAGTTAGTGGTGAAAAGAACAGAGGATTTTGCCATCCTGATCATGACCTCAACCTTTTGGGACATGTGAGTCCAAAATTAACAGCAATACTTTCTTGACAAACATCTTGTAGAGAATAATACAACTGACCTGAGGGTGGCTCTGAATTCAGGCTTGGAGACTATGGAATGAAGGAAATACTTCGAATCTAGTTGACCCATTTATGGAGGGGGCGGCTTCTACATCTGAGGTGTTGAGGTGTATCCAAGTTGGCCTCTTGTGCGTTCAACAGCGGCCTGATGACAGACCTGCCATGTCAACTGTTCTATTACTTTTGGACAGTGAGAATCCAACTCTTCCGCAGCCTAAACGACCTGGTTTTTACATCGAGAGAACTGTTATTGACACGGATTCTACATCAAGTGGGAAAATGCCGCATAATTCTACTGATGTAACAGTAACACTGTTACATGGTCGATAAGTTCTGGTTCATAGCATGTATATATTTCTTTAAAAGAATTTAAAGGGTGTGTAAATGCAATCATTTGCGTACATTCCTAAGTGTATGGTATATGCTGCAGAACGTTAATTTCTCTTCCATATTAATCAGTTCAAATGTAAATTTTGTTTGGACTTTGGTTTGAGCTTTGGCCGATACCAGAATTCAATTTCATGATAAGTAAATGTGCAGGAATCATAAACTAGGATGACAAGGGATAAAGTGGGGGAAGATTTCTTGAAAAGCATGTTCTTTTATTTGACTTTGGTGTTGTCAGAGAAAATAAGAGAAGAAAGGGGTAGAAGAATGAAGGCACCTTGCAAGGTTTGGAATTCAGCTCTTTGTTAATTTTAAACTGAGATACTTGCAAGTAGGATCGTATGAAGAGAATTCACCCACTTTGAAGAGATGCCCACATCTCCAGTTCTACTGTTAATTAAAGCACGATGTCTTGTTGTGTTGTTATTTTAGTATCATTTACCTAAATTTCAAGAGTTGCATTTCTTCGTGTATTATTTAACTTGAGATCCTTTATGGTGTATTCTTCAACGTTTTAATGTTGATTAATATATTTCATTTCGTTTTAGCGAGGAAGATCGAATTGGTTAATACCTAATATTCAAGTTAAATTCCTGTCTCGCAGTGGGTATAACCAAGGCAAAACTTATGAAGCTTGATATTTTTTGCATCCAATTTTTCTATCGAACTAAGGTAGAGACCCATTTAGTGGGTAATTTCGACCAAGGTGGCACCTAAGATCTTGGAAATTATTGTCAATGACTTCCAAAATTCAGCTAGGAAAACAAGAAATTGGAAGGGTTTTTTTTTTTTTTTTTTTTTGCAAAAAGCTGCCCAAACAAGAAAGAGTTTACTCAATATTACACATACCACATGACAGTTATATCCCCCAGTCAATTGCACGTTTCTTTACTTAGACAGCATCATAGTTTCTATGTTTGGAATATGATTTTACGCAGAAAAATTTTTGTGATTTTCGCAAACACATTTCTACTATCTTATATACATCAAATCGTTATAATATATTTTTCTATAAAAATTCCTAAAAATAACAATCCAAATGGAACTGCATTCAAGACTTTGACCATAGTTACATGTCCCTTGTTTAATCTAAGAAGACCTATCGCATGATAAAGTTAAATTAAACTTCTGGACTCTAGATTGAAATTGCCTAGCAAGATTGGCAAAGTGCAAGCCGTGACGTGAAGAGCAATATCTATGGACACTGTCTGCTCACAACTTATAAATGTTTCTTTTGTGAAATTGATAAAAACATAAGAAATGGTGCAAGTCTTGAAAATTGGTGCACAAAAAGTCAACGAAACAGTTGAAAATCTTCACCAAAGGGCCAAGCCCCAGCAGCTTAAAAATGGAATTAATTTTTGTTCGATCCTTTCTGTTGAGACTAGAAAGCATTGTCTGGAAAAGCACAAATTATCCTCTCCCCACTGTGATTGGTACATTGCCGGATCAAAAAAAAAAAAAAAAAACAATTCATGAACGTTTTAATTGACTACCATTTGAATGTTTTTTATACACTTGAATCAATTTACTTTTATATACGAATTTGGAATTTTATATCCATCGCGCTTAACTTGTCTATATATTTAATTTACATTAAAAAACATTCAGGATTGATCACCGATCCGGACAGAATTCTGAAGGACCCTCATTGATTTGTTCAACATTTAGCTCTAACATCAATTGATTCAATACAATAGAGTCATTTAAAATTTAGAAAGAAAATTTCCGCAAGGGTGTAACCAAATGTACTGTATTATGTATATATTGAACACGCAAAAGACATACAACTATTGCATTCAAAGCTGACTCTCAAAATCTCCATAGGCAGAAAATTCCGTGTCGAAGTGTGAGTTGGATGCTTTCTAAAACTGCGACTTTGTCACGTTGAGTTCAAATGAAGAATGCCAGACAAACTGAGTTGAATTTAGTGCTCCAATGAAGCACTAAAATCCTGTCAGGCTCGTCTTCCAGCTTTATATTTCACTGAAACTCCTGCCAAGTGATTGCAAAACATATGAAACGAGAATCGGATACAAACCAGTTATGAAGTTAGTTATACGCCTTAGAACTTGAGTTCAGTTTCTTACCCGGGGACAATTTGCAGTCTTGCACTTGCCGTTCCCGTGATAGTTTCTTCTTTGCCACCCCTTCTAGAGAAAAGGATGAACTGAAGAATCAGAGACAAGATCATCTCTGTCACTCCAAGTTTTGAACATCTAGCCAAAATCATGGCCCGACAGATTCATATCGACAGCTATGAATGTGATATGTCTCGATCAACCATTTCCAGGGGCAGTCGTGCTGCTGCTTTTGTGGGTTTTTGTTACAGTATATTCCTGATAATTTGCCTGATTGAAATCTCCCAGGCAATTGACATGCTGACTCCACCAGGGGCAATCACCGATGGCATGACTTTGGTATCTGCGAGAAATGTATTTGAGTTTGGCTTCTTTAGTCCCGGAAGCTCCAGAAATAGATACTTGGGAATATGGTACTTTCAGATGAGTCCACAAACCATTGTTTGGGTTGCAAATGGGAATAATCCGCTTAATGACTCATCAGGAGTTGTAAGCATTGCAAAAGATGGAAATTTCATCCTCCAAGACCAGACAGAGAGGATTGTTTGGTCTACAGGTGCGGAGAACATATCCTCAAATGGGACCTTTTTGCAGCTATTGGATTCTGGAATCTTGTCCTGAGAAATGACAAAGGTGGAAATGCAGGAGACTATATTTGGCAAAGCTTTGATCATTTTTCAAATACATGGTTAACAGGAATGGAGCTAGGGAAGGATCCCAGCAGTGGCCTGTTTCGACGTATGACATCATGGACAAGTGCAGATGACCCTGCCCCAGGGCAATACAGTTGTAGTGTTAATCCCCGTGGACCGCCCTTGGAATTTGTACTTTGGGAAGAAGATTCTCTACAGTATAGAAGCGGACCATGGAATGGAGTTGGTTTCAGCGGACTCAATTTTGAACCAAACAATGTCTTCGACCTGAAGCTTGTGGTGAATGCAGAAGAGACATACTACGAGTACGTTCCCGAGACCAAGCTTGTTACAACAAGGTCTGTTTTAAACTACTCCGGCATAATGCAGCGTTATGTCTGGAATGCTACCAGTCTAAAATGGCTACTTGTAGGTAATCTTCCCAATGACCCTTGTGATAATTATGGCCATTGTGGTGCCAACAGTATTTGCACGATAAGTGACCCAACTATTTGCAGTTGCTTGACTGGATTCATACCTAAAT